CGGGAGGGGGGGAGATGATGAACATAACATGGGATACATCTGGTCTTTTGTGGGGATCACTTTTCAAATTAGAAACTAATGGCTTACATTTTTGGCTTTACTTTTTCATAGAATATAGACGGAAAATTCTGAAGCTTGTGTAGCTGCTGCAACTAGAAAGGCATGCATTGCAGTACAGCAGAAAACCAGGCAATGATTAATAGCTGCTTTAATTTGGAAAGCCAGCAGTTTTTACTGAGTGTTTCACTGATTCAAAATGAGGAAGAGAAAATGCATTCAAGCTCCAATTTACTGTGGCTGGAGGGATGGTGGTGATTTTGGTGGAATCTTAATGATTTTGGTATTGACTGCCTAGGGGGTGAGTAGAGAGGTGGATATTTTTAATTATTTTCGTTATTGTCTCTTTTTGTGGAATGACACATTTGATTTTGTTTATGCTGGTCCCTGTCTGTGTAGCCAAGCCTGACTGTGACCCACTGTAACCGGTAGATGATGCAATGAGATTGTTCTCTTTGGAGTTCTGTCGGGAGCTCTTACATTAGCGCTGTGTCCCAGCAGAGCCTCTGTCAGGAGGTTTTGTCCGGAAATCTGGAGAGAAAGAATGTAAAAAAAAATCACATGAGCAAAGCTTTAGCACTTGGATTCAATTCCTTTTTTACAGTAAGACTGGGCTTGGTAAGGAAGTCCAACTTAATCTTTCTTTGAGACTCTTCAGCAAGACAACAGAATAGTTTTTCTTTAAACTTTGAAAATGCTACGAAGCATTTATTATTTTTTTAATCAGTTCAGAGTTGATGATGTGCTCTTAAGAATGCACATTTATTTTACTTCAGTGTTCATCACGGTTAGTGTACATTTCCATCTGTTTTGGACGTTTTGCAGAAACCTGTGAGTGTTCTCTCTAATTGAGTATGTTGGTAATTGGGGGCATGTTCCTTCTGCGTCTTCTCCATTTGAACTTAATAGGATAATCGGTCTGTTGGTAGGCACTTAGATGTTAGTTGATCAACTACTTGTTGCTACTTACGGGTAATGGCGGAAGCTAACTTTTGAATGCTGAGGGATTTCCTTCAGTGTATTCTGGGTGTCAGACAGCAGTTCCCACAAAAGGCTTGCTAAAGGCCATGTTCTTTAATCTACTAAAACTCAAATATATGCACAACTTACAGTTGTGTTTTAATACCTAAACACCTAAATTTTAATGCTGTTCCTTTTTGATTCTACACACACAAGTAATTGAAAGTATTGTAAAATTATTCAGAAGCGTAGGTGTTTGGAGGGTTTTCCTTACTATGGGCTGAACAGGACTTTCATATAATTCTGTGAGATTTTGCGCAGACAGTGTGTGAATGTGAAAGTGGGCAAACTGACCTGCGCTTGCTTTGTCTTCGTTTGCATCAGGCAAGTGTGGGCAGTCTGCACTTTCATATAGGCATGTCCTAACATTCATCTTAGACCATCATCTGAGCCTCGGGAGAAGTACTGCTCCTGTGTGGCAGAGGCTGTGCTGGGGAAAGGTGGAAGGCTAGGAACACTAACACTTTTCCTGAACAGCAAAGTCTGGGAAGCCTTCAGCTACCTTTTCTTATCAGAATTTAGATAGTCTATCACTCTGTTTTGTTTTGTAGGGCTTTTTTTCTGAATATTGTAAGAATCACTACTGCTTACATATTTTCATGTTCGTCTCTTCAAGATCGTTCCTGTAGATAGCTTCCCCACGAACTTCAGTCTGGAAGAGTTGTTTATAACTGGTAGTTGCATTTGCTTCTTGGTGTCTTTCTGGTTTAAGGTAAGAGATTGAGGCTTTGCTTTGATGTTAGTTCCTCTGTGAAGATAAGTAGTAGTAAACTACAAATAGGTTGATTCCCTGGTCTTGAGGTTCTGTCTCTGGAATTAGAGATACTCCTTGTTTTCTTTTGCATGCTCTCATGGAGTGAGATTTAGGCTAAGTGAAGGAGTAGAGTGGTGACGATATATGAAGCTTATTTTAATTCCAGTTTCTGGCTGACATTTCAATTTCTAGATCTAAAGACAGAGTTGTAAGTGTTGAGGGGGAAAGGAAAAACATTTTCCATCTCTGCCAGGCTTTGCAGGCATGCTTCATGTTGTAAGCATGTTGATCCTGTTGTCTTCCAGAATCATCCAAGAAAACTTGAAATGCATATAGGTGGAACAAAAATAGTTTATCTTTTTGTTTAATTCCAAAAGTGATAGCTCTAGTTTGGGAATGTGTGAAATACACATGCTGTTTTAGAATTTGGAAGTTACTTTTAAGATAAAGTAACCCACCCATGATTCTTTGTTCTTTTAACCTCCTGTTTCATTTTTTGTAGCCTTTAAGGCTTTCTATATTTTACCATTTTTCTGTGCTGTGGTTCTCCTGCCAGCCCTCCCCCAGCATATTTTCTGGAATTTATGTTCTGTCTTTTCAGTCAGGCAAGGTATACGGTTTATTCTAACAATTGCCATATGAGCAGAAGAGTTGGGCTTACTGTGGGTGTTTTATAAGCGCTATACCTAAGTAAAACTTCTTGCTCCATAATCACCCCTAGTAAAAACGGTAGAAAGAAGTCAGATACTGCCCTGAGAGTAATATATGCAATCTGCATGTGACCATTCTCTTTTTCCAAGCAAAGATAAGTTGAACTTGTCAAAATAAAGTGGGGGAAAGAAAAAGTGTAAATAAAAACATCAAATCACTGTAACTCTTGAGCTATGCAGTGCTTTACAGTGGTAGGTTAGTATTTGGGGTTTTTTTAAAATCTGGTATGTAAACCAATCTCAAAATCTATGCAAATCACGTCCAGTAATAACAATTCAGAAGGTATTTTTAAAAATGTTTATCTGACAGCAGAATGTCTTAATTGCTATACAAGGAAGAGAAATGATTAACAGAAAGCTAACAAAATTTTTATAGTACATGTTTATGGAGCAAGCAACTAGTCGATTCACAAGGTATAAAGGACATTCATTTCCAGATTGCTTTTCCTATATGTGAAAACTCATACCACCACCCTTAGATAAGTGCTGGTACAGGCTTTTGTTGGTTGGGACAGGGAATAGGAGGAGGTGGGGGAACACATACTGAAAAATAGTAGCTGCTGGTGTTATCTTGTCATTGCTCTGAAATTTCAGAGTGGCCTCACGTTTTTTCAGAGCATTGCTTCTCTTTTTGGAGCTAGTGGGAGCTGAAGGCATTTGGAGTGTTTGAAAGCAATCCAGTTTTATGTGAAAGAAACGGGGACTTAGGATGAAATCTGATAGAGGATTTGTTGATTTGGCAATATCTACCGGGATTTTAGTTGTTTGAGAAGTGTAATTCAGAATGCTGTGTTAGACCAGACTGTACAGGAAGAGCGAAGCCTCTTTGAAGAGAATCATGCAGTGACCCGAGGGCTGCCTGGAGCTAGGTTAGTTAAAATGTTCAAGACAAGGATGTGTTTTGGAATTGTCTCTGGAACTTAAATTGGATTAGATAGTAGGAAGGGTCCTGGAAAGGTAAATCCTTACAATCTTCCTCCCACCCCCAACTCCAGTAAAACTGAGCAGGGCTAGCTCTTTTGAAACTGAGATGTCACTTCACTGCTATGCGGTAAGTCAAAGGTTGAAACTCTCACCTGGGAAGTAGAAGTTCGAACCTACCTCCACAATTTACCAAAGAAATACCAAATCAAAGGATCATAGGTTGAGATGTTTTCCTCTTGTGTTACAGGCATTTGTTAACATGTGGAGAGGGGAACCCTTAAAGTAACCATAATGACAAGTGGTTAGTGCAATCATGTGTTCTGTGGGAAAGGGTTTGGGTACCCTTCCCTTCCCGCCTCACCCCAATTAAATAGCCCTGTGAGGAGCCTAGCATTTGGAATACCTGCTTGGACTTGGTTGTGAGAATTCAGCAGAGGTTAGATTAGGGTAGACCTTGGCAAACACAGGATGGGTGTGTAGAATGTTTTTCAAAACCAGCAAAATAGTGCATTTTTAATTTATATACTTCATGGGTTGAGAAGATGATGAACTTTTGGGGAGACTTTTTTGGGGAGAAGGAATAATGATTTTTAGACTTGGGGATTTCAGTTGTGTCTAATTCCAGCTTAGCTTCTGCATGTGAGTATTCTGCTGAAAATGTTTGTCACTACTGTCAATCATTGAATTGCCTTCTGGATTTTGGATAACAGTACATTAGCTTAAGCCTCCATGCACAAATGCAATTGCTTTCAAGATTGCCTGAATGAAAATAAGTAAAATAATCTTCTAATGACACAGTCGTTTAGGTGTTCTCGATTGTTTCTCTTGGTCAGAATTTTAATATCTTTTAAATGTATTCATAGGTAAAAACATCAGAGTTTTATCGATACTCCCGGCAGCTGCGACATGAGGTTGACCAAGCCATGAATTACTTTCATAGTGTTCACCAACAGCCTTTGATGGAAATGAAATCGAACAAAATTCGTTCTGCCAAACCCCAGACTGCAGTATTTAGAGGAATGATAGGACACAGTATGGTAAACAGTAAAATTCTTCTCTTGCACAAACCAAGGGTCTGGTGGGAACTAGAAGGTCCTCAAGTACCTTTACGACCAGACTGCCTTGCCATTGTGAATAACTTTGTGTTCTTGTTAGGTGGGGAAGAACTGGGGCCAGATGGTGAGTTTCATGCTTCATCCAAAGTGTTTAGATATGACCCAAGACAGAACACTTGGTTACGAATGGCAGACATGTCTGTTCCACGTTCTGAGTTTGCTGTTGGAGTTATTGGGAGGTATGTTTATGCAGTGGCTGGGAGAACCAGGGATGAAACGTTTTACTCAACTGAACGGTATGATATTACTGAAGATAAATGGGAATTTGTGGATCCCTATCCAGTCAATAAATACGGACATGAAGGGACTGTGCTTGGTAACAAGTTGTATATCACTGGTGGAATTACATCATCTTCAACTTCCAAGCAAGTGTGTGTGTTTGATCCCAGTAAAGAAGGGACAGTAGAGCAGCGAACAAGGAGAACTCAAGTGGTCACTAACTGTTGGGAGAACAAATGCAAAATGAATTATGCAAGATGCTTTCACAAAATGATTTCTTACAATGGTAAGCTTTATGTCTTTGGTGGTGTCTGTGTGATCCTGAGGGCCTCCTTTGAATCTCAAGGATGTCCTTCTACAGAGGTTTATGACCCAGATACTGATCAATGGACAATATTGGCATCTATGCCAATTGGTAGGAGTGGTCACGGTGTAGCTGTTCTGGACAAACAGATAATGGTTCTTGGAGGCCTTTGTTACAATGGTCATTACAGTGATTCGATCCTCACCTTTGATCCAGAGGAAAACAAATGGAAAGAAGACGAATATCCGAGGATGCCATGCAAGCTGGATGGCTTACAAGTCTGCAGCTTGCACTTCCCTGAATATGTTTTGGAGCATGTTAGACGTTGTAGCTAAAACAGAATGAACAACTCAGTGAAACGCAAAAAGCTATACCTAATTTGTCAAAAATGCAAACCAGTTGTATTACTTCAGAGACATCACCTTGTGTATAAGAACAACTGCTAAATGCTGAAGAGAAATGGGATGTACAGGGGGTGTAGTTACCAAGTTTATTAGAAAAGCCAATAGTTGGTCTGATATTGTAAAAGCTTTGGTTTTTTTTTTTACAAACACAATTGTAAGTGTGGGAAAGAAAAATATATTTTTAAGTGTGCTTATTTTTTTGGTAACATTTTATGTCCATAATACTACTTTTCTTTCTTTTTTTTTTTTTTTTTTAAATGGCCATTATACCACTATGCTTCTGAAATCAGTTGTTTAACAAATTATTTGTGGAAGAAAGAGAAGAAAGGGTATTAGGGTACAACCAGGTATGAAATAACAAAACTAAACCATTTCTGTATTTTATGTTGTCTCTTGGATGCTTTTCCCATTAATTGCAAAGTATTCTCAAATCTACTAGATGTTTTTGTTTCCCTTATGTATGTTGAAGAATAATCTTAACCCCTTTGCATGACTTTTTTCCTGGTTTTGTATAGTAGTACCAGTAAGTCTGCCAAAATGCAAATTACACGTTTTCTACTAAATTGAAAACAAAACATTTTTATATTCTAAACACTATTTCTATGCTGCCTTCTATTGTCTGCATTGTGTTTGTTGGTGAGTAAAAAAAATATATACACACACATGCGTACAGTATAAAAACTATATATAAGTACATCTTTTTATGTGCAGTTACAATATTTTAACTAGTGCACAGATTCAGCCATATCTGTTGAATTTAAGGTATAGTACTATCCTTTAATGAGCTAAATAATGCGAAGTTCTTAAGTAACCGGAGGCCTCATTTGGTATCGAAGTATCTTATCTTTAGTATATACTGATCGATTCAGTAACTTTTAACTCTTCATATCGATGCTACATAATGAGATGTTGATAATTTGTTATTTTATAAATTATTTTTTTAAAAGTAAAACATCTTACCTGAGTTTATTTTATGTTTGTGCTGCCTAGTTTTTTATGAAAACGTCAGTAAGCAAATGCTCAGCACTGCTTCAACCCACAGCTGATTTTGGAAATTGATATACTACAGTTTATACTCAGTACTTTGCTTGTACTCGTACTTCATTACAAGTACTTTGCTTGTACTCGTATTGAAGTGGGATAATCTTTTATTATTATTTCAATTATCAACTGCTATGAACTACTGTGTTTTGAAAATGTGGAGTTAGGTGGTTGGATGGTTAGTACCATTTATGTTTCTTTTACAAAAAACCCGACACAGCTATAGTTACTGACCTCAGAGTGCCTGAATGGAGACGTGTGATCCAAGAGAGCTTTGAGTAACCATTCTGTTACCTTGCAAATACTACTGACAGCAGATTGGTAAGAATTGTCTGCCAAGACATAAATAATAACAGTAATTACATTCTGATTATCTTTAATGATGTGAAATTGACCAATTCTAGAATCTAAAGGAGAGATTTGGAGACATTGAAGGGTCACACTTAGTTCAGATGCGTAGGGGCAAAATGCTGAAACATGCACCTGCATATTTTGTAAAATCTTAACGCTGCTGTGTTTCACTTTCAGCAATAGACTTGACTTTATATGCAGCAATGCAAAACCACTTTATTCAGCATATTCCAGTCAGAAATCACTGTAGAAAAGGAATGTACAGTACTCAGGGAGTTCAAAAGAATGCACTTACAAAGGGACCAAAATCACCCTAAATGTCCTGTGTTAAAAATAACACCTGCTTGCCTAAACTAAGTTTGAAATAATTGATAGAAGTTAAAATGATGTGTAAAACTCCTCATACTTGTGTTTTGGTATTTTTATAGTAATTATATTCTGGGTTGAGATGTGAGGATTTGGAGCTATATGGCAAGTCAGCAGTTTTGGGGTTTTTTTTAATTAGAAATGATTTATTGATAGAGTATTTTCTTTCCGTATGTTTTAACGAGAGAGAGAATGTATGCCATCATAGCTGTAGTGATAAGTTACTTACACCAGTAGTGACTGGACCAAATGTTGGTATTCAGCCTTCCGATGCAGACTAGTTTGTGGTTAAATTTAAGTCTTTTTTTAATCAAAATTCAGTTTACTGAATTAGAAATCTAATTTACTTTCTTAATAGCTTAACTTAAAGCCAGCATGGCTTATACTGAAACCTCCGTTTCACTGTGAGACTTGTGCATACATTACCCTGCATGGGTGCAGAGAAAAACTGACTGCAGTAGGTGCTGGCTGTGTGCAAGTAAAAAGGCTTTACTGTATATAGTTCATGGAATATTGGGGCACAAGAAAAAACCAAGAAGTTTTAATTGTTTTTATTCTTTTTGTCACCAGCTTATTTCTCAGTGAGTTTATGGGGCAGCAAAAACTAATTGTGCTGGAGTAGGCTTTCATGGGCATGTTACGTATAGTACAGGGTACTCCGCTTTTATCTCAGACCAGGCTGGGGAACGGACATGGCTCTGGATATCTGGTCTTCCATGATTCAGGTGTAGTAGAGAGACATGGCCAAGACTTTATGAAAAATAATGGTAAGGGTGGGGGTGTCTCAGGTTAGTTTTTGGGTCTGCATTGAAGCACCTTCTCAGTTTCTGTGTGCTAAGCAACTGCCACCTAAGTCCTTGGTGAGTATTGACACTTGAAACGTGAAGAACCAGATCATTTTTAAGTGCTCTGTTTTTAAGCTCTTATTTATCTTCAGGCGCCCAGTTTGGAAAGATCTTGTTCAGGATTGTAATAGTAATTATGCTGTGAAATTCTAACTTGAACTGTTGGTTTCAGCTTCCCTGAAGTTGTGTCTCCACTGAGAAGCTGGCTGTAACCTTTTGAGCATTAGGAATGATTGGAATTTGCTTGGGTTTAGAACGCGTGGGGGTATTGGAGAAAGTTTTGTTAATTTACATTTCTACTGTGCTTTTATTGTTTCAGACATGAAATATAAAATCAGCTTGCGTTTTCTTTTCCGTTGCCGTGGAACTTTTCAGGCAGTAACTTTTGTTACTTTATATATCAGAAGGAGATTGTATTTTTTTTTTAATTGAAAGTTTCTATTTGTGTTTACTTTTGGTATTTAGCTCCAGATAATTTACTGTTTAAATACAACCAAAACTAAGGTGGCGAATAAGAGTTGCCTATTACTATCAAGTTTTGAGCATTATGATCAGATTAAGGTGTGTTTTTAAAACATTTAAATGCCTTTCATTTGTCAAGGAAAAGGTAAGTTACAATCTTTGATTATTAAGTCGAGGGGGGTTCTTCTTCTGTTCTCATCCCAACCATAATGGAATGCCAGCAAATCCAATCTCACACACACATTTAAAATTTAACATGACTTGCTCGTAAACAGCAAGTGTACTTGCTTTTTCTTAAAAGATGGACATAGTGAGTTACAGTTTAGGGTTTTTCACATTTAAAGCAAAAATGTATCACCTGTCTTAATTTAGCAAATAGCTCCAGGGGGAAATTTTGTTTTTGAATGAGCCAGAATGGACAAAAAGCAGAGTGCTCCTGTAAAGGTGTTGGGCACTGCCAGCTCCCATGCCACATGCTGCTCTATCTGGTTTTAGGGGATGGGTAATTTTTTTCAAAGTACTGCATAAGGGAAAAAAAAATAAATCTCATTTTCCCCCACAAAGTGCTGGTAGTAGTTTCATAGTGGGAGGTATTAGGTGGCAAAAAAAACTGTTGAAATTTTTCCCCCCATTGATTGAGCTGGAGGAAGGCAGTGCTTGGTTTTATGAAGGCTCTGCAATTTCAGAAAGCACGGCTAGCAGGAGGGGCTGGGGCAGCACATGAGCTACATGGCAGTCTGCTTTTATGTCCCTTTCTTCTGAAAAGTGCGGATGCCCTACTTTCTGCAGTGTGACAGCAGCCCTGTTGTAACTAGCTCTAAGGGTTTGTGACTCGAATATTTCTGTGGTTTCTGAGATTTGCAGCCATTTTTTGTCGAGGACCTCCGGCCTTACAAACCCAAGTGCTGCGTTTTTTCATGCTGATGATATGATAACTGCTTGTGTCAAGGACGAAGCTTCACTTGACAATCAGAAAGCAAAGGATAAAATTCAGCAGGTACAAATTCAAATCAGTTTAAAAAGAAAAATATTGCTTAACTCATTATGTCCATTCTTTTGCAAAAGGAGGATAAGCATTATGGGGAGATGCTAACGGCTCTTTAAAAATAAACTCCAAGCTTGTGTCAGCGTTTATGTGACAGTCTTTTTAGAAAGTCACATTTGTAGAGGTATTTTGCCTTTTTAATATATTTTTCCTTACAATAAAAAAAAATGAATTGGGCCCCTGATTCTTTTAACAACTCAAATGTGTACTGCGCATATGTGAACAGAGCAATGTAAAGAAAACAGAAAACCGTAAGGTACTTAAAAGAAAACATAAAGGTGCAAATGTTATTAAACCTGTGCTTAAGTGTTTATAGGCTTGGGAACGTTAAAGAAAACATCGGTCCTGCTCTCCTTCCATTAAGGAACATATAAGCGTGGTCCATCCCGTGTGGCAGGGCTCGCTGCAGGGGAGTGGGAGGTGGGAGAGAACTTAACTGGAAAGCATGTGTCATCTATTTAAAACAAAGCTTGCTGGTGTCCTGTAGCTAACATTTTGAGATTTTAATGTTTGTAAAACAATCTGAAGCTGCTTAAAATAAATACTCATGACTACTTTTGCATCTGTAATCTATTTTTGAAAGTTGGTGGGTAACTTTAACATTTCCATTTGTGTGGATAGACTTCATAAAACATAGTAGTATGTGGCAGGGGGTAGAAAAATGGACTTGTTATGAGCACAGCTTTCCTGGATTTCGCTCTACTAATTTTTTTTTTCATTTCCCAAATTTCAATTAATGTTTATATAGTCTATTAAGAATGACTTTCAAAGATCAATTTCAAATACCTTTGGATTAATACTAAATTGGTAGCTAGGGGAAAACCACTTCTATTTGCAGATGGTAATTTTTATTTATGGCTCTGGTAGAAAACCTT